GCCATCATTGTTGTTTGGCGGGTCTGGGCTGGGGATTCGAACCCGCCACCTTAGGTGTACGTGGCTGGCGCCCTAGCTGGTTGAGCTATAGGCGCCAAGCCACCCAGGCTGATCTTGAATGACTGGCCTCAAGTGATCCTCCCACCTCAGCTTCCCAAAGTTTGGGGACTACAGTGTGAGCACTGGGTCAGACCTACAAATTGCTTCTAAAAGGAAAACTTATCATAACTATAAACAATATTCGTGATTTGTTAAACGTCTATCTGTAAAGGTAGACTTTAATACTTTGTGAGAATTTATAAAGATTACTACTTTTCTAGGATATACTGGCCTCAAATTTTGCACAATAGATTGTGTCTGTTCTATGTAATATTTTGAAGTTTTTATGTAGGTAGTTTCAAAGGTATTTATAAATGCAGAAATAAGTGAAATGCCATTAAACAAAATACATAATATTGAAGGAATCCTTTGTGTTATATTTCAACTAGAAATACCTGTGGAATTTTATATATAATTTTCCAAAAAAATTATATTAAAAGTCTGAGTTTTATTTTGCTTAGTCTCAGCTCATATGGAAAGTGTTTTATGCCTATAGGAAAATTACTTTTGTTAACTTATCAAAGTGGAAAACTAATCAGAATCAGCAGGGTGAGGTGGCTCACACTTATAATCCTAGCAGGAGGATTGCTTGAGCTTAGAAGTTCAAGACCATGGGCCTGGGTCCTCTGCCCGAGCCCACAGAGCCTGTTTGCCTCGACTGACCAGAGTCCAGGAATTCTCCGCTCCCATCCCGTCCGACCTTCCCCACCCCAGCTTTCTATTTTTTGAAAACAAAGAATAATGTCTCAGTTTTTACTAGAACCAATCGTGCCTGGAACAGGGATTGTACCTGAATGGTCCTTCGCCCCATAATCACAAAGTACACATTTGTAAGAAAAATGAGAGCCAGTGGATAAAAGTTCATGAACTTAAGGAGCACAACAGATATATCATGGGTGTTGACTGGGCTCCCAAAAGTGACTGCATTGTCACTTGCGGGGCAGACCACAATGCCTATGTCTGGAGTCAGAAACATGGTGTCTGGAAGCCAACCTTGGTGATAATTGCACAGTCACTTTTGTGAAGTGGTCCCCCTTAGAGAACAAAATTGCTGTGGGAAGTGGAGCACAACTCATTTCTGTTTGTTACTTCAAGTCTGAAAATTACTGGTGTGTAAGCAAACGCATTAAAAAGCCGATTCGCGCCACAGTCCTCAGCTTGGATTGGCATCCCAGCAACATTTGCTGGCAGCGGGATCATATGACTTCAAATGCAGGGTCTCAACTCTGAAAACAGAGTTCCTATCACTACTGAGTGTATCATTTGTTTCGGAGAATAGTGTTGTGGCTGCTGGCCATGCACTGCTCTTGAGCTACGATGACTGTGGCTGCTTGACCTTGTGTCCAAGTTAGACATTCCAAAACAGAGCATCCAGTGCAGCATGTCTGCCATGGAACATTTCCGCAACATGGACAAGAGGGCCGCGACCAAGGGCTGCAGTATAACCTTGGAGACACTGAATCAGGTAGCATAGCATCACCCAAGGGTCTATTTATGAGGTGGACAAGCAAGATTGTCGTAAATTTTGCACTACTGGCATTGATGGAGCCATGAAATTTGGGATTTCAAGACCTTAGGCTCTCCTGTCCAGAGCCTCTGGGTAATATGAAGCTGAGTGAGCCTCTGACATCTAGCATGACCAACAGTGGCTGATTGCAGCTCTGCCATTGGATCGTAAGGAAAGCCAGCTCCAAGGAAACACTGAAAACACATCTCATGCAAATGGTGTGGTTTTGTT